TGAGCAGGGAGCCCGATGCGGGACTCGATCCCGGGACCCCAGGATCATGACCTGAGCCGAAGGCAGTCGCTTAACCAACTGAGCCACCCAGGCGCCCCAATAAATAAAATATTTAAAAAAAAAAATGTAAACATGAACTGACACATTATGTGTAAGCATTATGTGTTTGTTTTTATAATAATTGTAATTGTTCCTTGCAGGAATGTGGTAAAGGGCATGGACTCTGGAGTCACTGGCTGGGTTTATATCGTGGTTCTCCCACTTATCGTTGCAACCTGGGCAAAGCTTTTTGACCTTCCTGTGCCTCAGTTTCCACATCTGCACTTGATCTTAGCCAAAAGGCTGAGAAGCGATTCAGTTTCCATACCTGTAAACTAGAAGTGAAAAATAATGCCTACCTTTTAGGGTTTTTCTGGATTAAATGAGCTGAAATGTGTAGAAGTGCTTAAAACAGGGTCAGACACATTGTAAATGTTCGCAAAACTTCATCATCTATTATCATCTAAATTTTTTTTTTTTTTAATTTTTAAGTAATCTCCCCATGGGGCTCGAACTCACAACCCTAAGACCAAGAGTCGCAGGCTCTACTGACTGGGCCAGCCAGGCGCCCCGTACTGTTATTAGTGAGGAAGAAGGTGATATTCTTAGTCATTTTAGAGCTGAGAAAGCTGAGACTCAGGTTAAGTATTTCGCTGGTAAAGAGTGGCCCAGCAGGGATTTATTCGTACCCTGGTCTGACTGACTCCAAGGTCCGGGTGCTTCACCGTGCTACACTCCGCAGAGCAGGCTGAGGGAGAATTTAGGAGGAAGAAGGAATCTGCTGCTCCAAGCCAGGGCTGAACCTCTAGCCTCTGTGAAATATTTATACTAAATGTTTATCTCCAGGCTGGCTTTCTGCTGGAGCTGGCCTGGTGCAGGACCCGGGGACCTCTCCACCTCAACTTGTGGTGTTGTTGGGAAAATCAAAGTACATATTAATATTCTATTTTGAAATCCAGGCCTGAGCCTGTAGTCCTTCTCTGTAGATTTCTTAGTTTGCTGTTCCACGCCATTCACTGTCAACCCTGCTCGCCTTTCCAGCCTCATCTTGCTGTGTTACCCCCCCCACACACACACACACCTGCTGCTGTCGACAGCCCATCCACTCTGCCCTCTGGCCACAGCGGGCATTCACCCACATCCAAACCCGCCGCAGCACTCCCACCTGCGGCCCGGGCTCGAGCTGTGCCCCCAGATGCAATGCTCTTATCCCCAGTTACAATGGTTTCCAGCTTTCAAGGCCTGGCTCAGAAGCCAGTTCATCAAAGGCGCCCTCTCTGCCCTCTGCCCCGTGAGAATGCACCCCTCTCTCCCTGTGTAGCCCAGAGCCCTCTGCTCGCACCTTGACGTTCCTGTTCCTGTCACATGCCGCATTGTGTTAGTTGCTGGCAGCTCCCCATCTAACCTCCCCTTAGACTTGGGGGGTGAGGAGGGGCGATACGCTCTTCATTTGGGGCGTCTCAGTAGAAGTACACAGGAGGTGGGGGAAGATGGTCCTGGAACTGGGTCGCCTAAGTTAAATATAATTATGGAGGAAAGGTATTTATGCTTGACTTTCCTCCTTCCCATCACAGTGATCCTGAAGGCTCAGTACAGGCATATGCATATATGGGATTGTAAAGGAAAGTATGGTCACTTGTAGGAAATTTGGGAAGTCGAGAAAAATATTAATAATAATTACATTTTTTAAGATTTTATTTATGTATTTATTTTAGAGAGAGAGAGCACGTGGCGTGCGCAAGCGGGGCAGAGGGGGAGAGAGAGAAAGAATCCCAAGCCGACTCCCGCTAATCAGGGAGCCCCACACAGGGCTCCACCTCAGAGCCTGAGATCATGACCTGAGCTGGAACCAAGAGTCAGACACTTCATCGACTGAGCCATCCAGGCGCCCCCAATTAATAATAATTATTAATAAAATAAAAGTAATATATAAAACTCTCATCCTCGAACTTGTTAATAAGTTGGCATATTTTCTTCTATGTTTATAACTAACTGAATAAAAATAAATGGGCTCATACTGCATAAACTGTTTTATAGCCTCCCTTTTCCATAACATATCATGAACTTTCTTTTTTTTTTTTTTAGATTTTATTTATTTATTTGACAGAGGAGAGAGCACACAAGCAGGGAGAGTGGCAGGCAGAGGGGGAGGGAGAAGCAGGTTCCCCGCTGAGCAGGGAGCCCGATGGGGGCTCGATCCCAGGATCCCGGGATCATGACCTCAGCCGAAGGCAGATGCTTAACCGACTGAGCCACCCAGGCGCCCCTCATGAGCATGTTTATAGACACTAAATATTCTTTACAAATAATCCTAATGGTTACCTGAAATTCCATTTATGTGTGCCTGATTTCCACCCCGCCGCCTTGTAGAGGACTCTCGCAGCGGCCTTACAGGAGGGCAGGACCCCTGGAGCCTTACAAACTGGTACCAGTGAAGGGAAGACAGGTGGTTTTATAAGGGCAAGCCAGATGCCTCTCACCCACCTGTCAGAGGTCTGTCCTTCGGCAAATAGTTACAGACAGTCCCTGACTTTTGATGGTCCAGCTTGTGATTTTTTTGACTTTACGATGGTGTGAAGACCATATGCATTCAGTAGAAACTGTAATTCGAATTGTAAATTTGGATCTTTTTCCCCCCGGGGCTAGCGATATGCGGTACACACTCTCCGGTGATGCCAGGCAGCAGGATGCAGCTCCCAGCCAGCCCTGAGATCAGAAGGGTCACAACCGATATACTGATCACCATTCTGGACCCACACAACCATTCCGTTTTTCACTTTCAGCACAGTAGTCAATAAATTACATGACATAGTCAACACTTGATTATAAAACGGGCTTTGTGGAAGATGATTTTGCCCAACTGGAGGCTAATGTCAGTGTTCTGAGCACAGTTAAGGCAGCCTAGGCTAAGCCATGATGCTCAGTAGGTTAGATGTATTCAATGTGTTTTTGACCTATGATAATTTCAATTTATGATGCATTTGTCAGGATGGAACTCCACTGTAAGTTGAGGAAGATCTGTACTCAGCTCACGGGGCCTGCCAGATTGGGAGGTGAAGTCACTGAGTGAGACAGAAGACACCCCTTGTCCCCCAGGAGCTCATGTGAAAAGTAACTATAATACCACGACCCCGTGCTATATGTAGGTGCGGAGGGGGCAGAGGGACCCCCAGGGAGCAGTTCGCTATGCAAGGGAAGGAGGGTTCACAGAAAGTGCGACAAGAATGACATTGGTGCTGGCTCTCTGGGAAAGGGCTGAGGGGCCCCGGGGGTCCTTCTCTCAGATGGAAGTCGGACTGACAATCCCACAGGCATCCATCTAGTTACCATCCCGGGAGGGGGTTGCTTACGCACTTTTTTTTAAGTAAAAAATGTTTCCACTGTTCCCACGTTTCACCCATGTGTTCTTTCAAAACTCCCACATGTTACCACCAATAGTTTATTAGTGTCCCTTGAGTTTCTTGGTCAGATCCGTGAAGATGGAGAAAAGGATAGGATCACCCAAATTATGTGGACGTTTACACCACTTTCTTTTCCACCTCCGGCCTGATTAAGCTGCTTTTGGTGGTTCTAAAAGGAGAGGGTCTCTTGGTGGCTGAGACAATGTGGTTGTTTCCTCAAGGCGTGCCCCAGCATTTGTGTGACCCTGCAGGGGTCCCAGAAGGGAAACGTCCCGTTTTGCCTGTGGTCCCGCTGGAACCCGCTCTCTCTAAGCTTGAGCCCCACAGCTCTCCAGCCACCTCAGCCTCACGGGAGGCGACACATGGCAGATACGCTCCCATTTATCTGTGCTTAATATAGCCACAGACTTGGCCAGAAGCTTTCCTCACCTTCCCATTGGCTCTGTGGGAACAGCAAGCGGTCCTGACTGTTCTAGCTCAGGGGGAGGGAGCGGAACATAGGTTAAGGGGCGGCTGGGAAGGGCCTCTTGAAGGAGTTTAGATTTGATTCGCCAAGCCATGGCGAGTCATCCGTATCTTTTCAACAAGACAGAGACATCAGCAGTCTCTGCTTCAGCAGGTAAGTGCGAGCACGGGGGAGGATGGAGTGAAAGGCAGGAGGAGCCCGGTGGCCAGAACAAGGGTGGGAATGGAGAGGGGGGCAGAAATTCAGGAAGTAGAAGTCCCTGAATTTACTCAGGGGTTTAAAGTGGGAGAGGAGGAAGGCAGCCTGTGAGGTTGGTAGCTCAGGTGTGTGGGAGGTGCCCTCTGACACCTCCCACAGAGCATTCTGGCAAAGGGGGACGTGGAGGTCATGGGTTCCAGGCTTGCCGTGCTGGAGGTGAGGTGGTTCGGGGCCAGCCTGTCCGGGGGCTGCCACGCATTCCAGTCAGGGGCTCAGGAGAGGGAGGGGGACCGGTACCAGGACGGGTCACTCCACAGGCGGCGGACAGCAGATCCCTTCAGCAGGAACGACGACGCTAGCCATTCTTGAACATTCCATGTGCCAGGCAGTGTTCTGGGCACTCCACGTGTGTGGACTGGTTTCAGTCGCACCACAATCTTTTGAGGTAGGCACTGTTGTGAGCTCCAAATACAGGGGAGGAAACGGAGGCGCAGAGAAAGTTCAGTAACTGGCCCGAAGACATGCCACAGGCAAGTGGAGCAGCCAGGGCTTGGTACCCGCTCCACTCTAGCCCCACTGGGAGAACATTCTGGGAACTGTGTGATTTAAGGGAAACTGAAGAGGATTGGGCCCCGGAGAAGCTCTTGGGGCAGGCCGAGCGATAGAAAGGAAAGAACTGGTAGGAAAACCAGGAGCGTACCAAGTCATTTCAAGGGCATGCAGGGCTGCAGGGGGGCAGAGTGGGGCAGGGAGGAGGCCCTGGGTGGAAAGGACTGGGTGCTGGCTGGTGCCCCCTGTTGAGAGCTGTCCCCAGGATGCTGGGGAAAGAGGCCAGACTGCAGGATCCAGGGGGCACTGAGGAAGCAGACAGAGTATGTCTGGTTTCTGTTTAGAGGAAGTCTATTGAGGAATGGGCAAGAGAGAACCAGGGTGTGGCGGAGCCGGGGCTGGTTAAGGGCTTCTTAAAAAGGGGGCATCCTTCAGGTTTGTAGGTATGAAGCAGAGGGAAGGGGAGAAAGAAAGAACTGATGGAATCTCCTGGAGCAGGAGGGTTGGGCTTGAAATGGCAGGGACATCTCATCCTCTGAGATGAACTTAGACAATAGGGGCCTGACCCAGGGCAGAAGCTGGGGGAATAAGCTGGGGGTGGGGGTGGAGGAAGAATGGACAGGACTCGATAATCAATAGAACGTAGGGCAAGGGAAACTGAGGACTGAGGTTCCCAGCTGCCACGCCAGAGGAGGAGGGGCAGGCCTGGGGAGGGAAGGGCTCTGAGTTGGATTCCAGGCTCCTTACTTGTGAGATGTCCAGGGGACCTGCAGGCCTGGCCTGGGAACCCGGGGAACTTGCAGCTCAGAGGCAGTGGCGGGAGTGAGGGAGGTTACCCAGGGGGCTATGAGAGGCAGGGGAGGGGACTGAGGAAAAGCTTCCAGGAAGACAGCCCTGAACAGAAGAGTAGGTTAGCACTGCCCAAGAAGTGTCCTTCAAGGAAGAGCATCCATTTGAGTGACTGGTTTCATTTGATGACTCTATTAATAACACATTAAAGGATTTTATGAACACTCAGAGGGGAATGCAAACAGGGGTATCTCCAAGTCTGCCCATGCATTTTTCCCGGCTCTGAAATGCCAAGGTGACAGGGAGAAACTGCAGAAGGATCTTGCAAGTAAGCAGAAAAGTGGCAGACCAACTGCACTGTGGATAGGAGTAAGGTAACACCTGCGATGACATACACGATCTAGAAGACTGGCAAAGAGGATCAACCCCAAGCCCCCCGTTACAACTTCAGGACTGGAGCCAGGAGTCAGCATGGAGGCGTGAGTCAGTCCGTCTAGATTAAGGATCTTTAACCTGGGGTCTAGGGGTCTAGGGGACTACCTCTGGGGTTTCAAGGGCCCCCCTGAAATCAAATGTATCACCAAGAGAAGGAGCATGAGGAGAGGGTGTGGGCAGAGAGTGGAGATCCTCAGAGGGTCTGGGAGCCCAGTTCTGGAGCTGCGCTCATCAGGCTAACCCGGTGTCTGATGTCCCCAAGGAGGGTGGTGCTGAGGTTTCTCCCCCTCCCAGGTTCCCAACTCGCTAAAGAAACTTTCCCTTGACATGCAAATGATGGAAACACATGGTGGCTGGGGCACTTTGGTTTGTGGTTTTTACCATCAGATGTCTCTGTGGCTGAGCAGGTTGATCTGTCTCCGCAGAGCTAGGGGATTGCAAACCCTCAGAAGAAGAGGAGAGGGGGGCTATTCCCTGGAGTCTGGGCCCAGATGGGAAGTGGGTCTCTAAGGCCGCTTGTCTCCGAGGAGGATGCAGACCCGGAACTGTACCGTCTTCAGAGCTCCTAGATAGCTCCTCTTCAATGCAGGCTGCTGGGCTGTCGCCCCCCGCCCCACCCTACCCACCCTCAAATTGGAGTTTGAAGCCAAACCACGTGGAAAGAGAACAAAATTGATTTCCCATTTATTGAACAAGTTCTTCTGTGGAAAATCTCGGGGCTCAGGAGCCCCTGAAGTGACCGGGGATGCCGGGAGGAGCTGGGGAGACGGCAGAACGGATCTGATGATGTGATGGGTAACAGCTTCGATCTCCTGACCCCCTCCTCACCATCTCCTCTGACCTCAGCACTGGGTTTCCTTTCCCGAGCCCTGACTCCCAGGGGCCGCCCCTCCCCCACACCTCAGCCGTTCCGGGCGCAGAAGTGCGTCCACACTCCGCACCCGCCCCGGCAGCCCGGCTCTCAGGTTCCCCTGCTAGTCGAGGGCTCGGGTCCCCGCCCCCCTCCCCCCCCCTACCACGGGGCCAGGTAGCCCTCGCCCCCTCCCCGCCCCCGCATCTCCGGGTGAGCCTTCCCGGCGCCGGTCCCCAAGGAGGGAGGGAGGGAGGGGCAGGGCGCCCCGCAACCCGCTCTGCGGGGGGAGACCGAGGCTCCTCGCTCACGCCCTCCGGCCCGCCAGCGGGGACTCAGGGCGGCTGGTGCGGAGAGGGGACACCGGGGGCGGGGGACCTTGCTAACCTTGCCCCGGCGCCCCCCGGCCCCGCGATTGCCCCGCTTCCTCCACCCCATTGCTGCTCCCCTCC